ATGTCTGGTGCTTCTCAATTTCCAGTCTTAAAACACCTTTCACAGGTTTATGGACCTTGCGTTTAGGATCCTGTTATAATAAAGAAAACAAAAAAAAAGAAAAAAGAGTGAGGCAGAAAATCAGAAGCCATTGCTGCATAAATGACAAAGAACCAAAAAAGGAAAAAGAAGAAAAAGAAAAAACAGGGGGATGAAGATGCTGAAAAGCTTACTCTCTAGAAAAAAAATATGCATATAAATACTTTTAATTAGTGAAAAAGGTGATTACGTGCATTTCTATATTCAAAAAAGGATAAGTTCTCATAAAATATCTAGAGAACATTTCAGATTCTTCATTTCTTTGACCTCCCTTTTTTCACAGCATTTCTTTGGCAGAGTTGTTTTGGGTTTTTTATTAGCACCTCACTTACTTTCTTCAATACTTTCTTAAAAGCATTTCAAATGCTAAAAAGTAGAGCTTCCCTCCAATACTTCTTTAGACTTGTGAGAGAAAAAAGTGCTTATAAACAAGTTGAAGAATAAGCCCTGCCAAACAGTCATTGATGATCATTAGCTCCCATGCATTTATCAGTCAAATGCATGCACATTTGCTAAAGCCAAGGTATAACACAATAATATTTTCAAATACTTCACAAATGACCCCCTCCATGCCTCTTATCTGCGAAGATATCTTAATCACAAAGGCACATAAGAAATGTTACAAAATTGTTTTGTTCGATGAAGTATTCCATAAGTTGATCAGTACAACCTCCAGTTGAAAGCAAATTTTGGTTCACAAGTTAGAATTACATCATTGTTTCACAAAAAATGTAAAGCTCTAAATGAACAGAAACCTTCTAAAGCTCAGCTAACTCATTGACATATAATTACATTTGACATACAAAAAGCCCATTTTCCATAGCCTCCCCTCCCCTCTACTTCTAATCACCTATGAGAAACAATTTCATAATCAACTGATCCAAAACATTAGAGTAACAAAAAGATCAATGCAAGCAAAATAGAAGTCATTTATAATGTGTAAGGAAGCATAGATAAAAGAAAGTATGGTAATATGTAGCAGAAGGAGCATAGATGAATGAATATGGATGAAAATCAGTATGGATGAAAATCCACTGAAGAATTACTAATTTCACAATTATCTTGCTGTAAGAGAAAGACCAAATGCTCCACCATCTCAGCTAATGGTTAATCACCCTGGCCCAAAAACTAAAATATCAAACATTAATTGCAATGCCAATGATTAGCTAACTTATCTAACAGATGCAGAGACATTATTTTCCACAGTAAGAACTACAGTAAAAACCAATTGAAAGACAGATGATGAGGGGGCGATAGTTAAAATTCTTGCCGCCAGATAACAAGCAAGCCAACAGGTAAAAATCTTGCTGCCAGGTAACAAGCAAGCCAATAGGTAAAATTCTTGCCGCCAGGTAACAAGCAAGCCAACAAAAGAGAAATATTGTCACATTTAATCAGAGGTCAGATTGAAGATGAACAAGATGGAAACATATAAGTTCTTCATACATACAGGTTCTTTACATGAATAAACAGAAGGAGTCACTCCCCCTTCTTCTGTTGCAGGCTTCTCTAATTGGATTAGTAGACACACAGATGCTGACGGAGCATCTAAATAGAAAAGTCCACCAGGTTCTAAAGATACTTTATAAGTCTGTCCAGGTAAATGAGAAAGAGTGGATTTTTAAGTCATCAATATGAAAAACGAAAGCACCAAAGAATTTAATGCTAAATTAGTTTTAAGGCTACATCCCGCATTTCAGTTGGTAGAATGCTAAGATAGAAATCTTCTGACAATTTTTCTCTTCTCTCCCTATTGTATAAGCAAATTGTACCATAGAATGGCTCTGAGACAAATAGAGGGAACTAGGTCAGAAATCTTGAAAGTGCAAAAAATAATGAAATAAAGCAGTATCTTAACATTATAAAGATGCAGCAGCTTGTGGATAACAGGGAAAGAACACTAACCAACGATTCCAGCTTGAAACGCAAGGGACAGAACTTTCACAAAGATCTTCAATCCACTAAGGCCACCCATCCCAACAGACAAGATATCATAGACTGTGAGAGATTGATCTAAAGCAAACCAATAAATCTCAACATAATTTTAGTAAGGAGCAAGATTCTGAAACTGCCATGGTGTACCACAGGGGTCTCTGGAGTCCTCTGGCCAAATATCATTGACCTCTCATTTTCCTAATCAAAAGCTGGTTCATAGGCAGGGAGGGGAGATTGGCCAAAACACTAAACTTGTCATAAAAATTAAGGAGGAAAAAGAGAGAAATGAACGGTTAATCACTCCGTACCTTGCATTCACCACTAACCTTAGGCCACGCATTCCTCAACAACAATACCCACTGCTCAATCACTCCGTACCTTGCATTCACCACTTCCTCCACCGCAAGCACCCTCTTGCACCAGAAAACCAAAAAACCATAAAACATCGCCCCCAGAAAGACCCCCCACTTCAGCAAAATCTTCAGAGACTCCAAATCCAGGCCTAAAACCTCACCTTGGTCACCACCCAGATCAATGTTTTTTCACTTAACGATCTCAGAATAGCTCTAGTACCAGCAATGCCAAGTATTCACAATCTCAAACTGTAAATTCCACCAAAAATGGACGGATTGAAACAATTGGAGACTATACGACATGGGAAGTGACTACTTTTGGATGAAAATTTTATTGGGTATTACAAATTTCAATTTTGTTGCACGAAACCCAAACACTTGGATCTGGAAATGACGGAGGGTCGATTGATAACAGCGGATTCAGGTGCCTCAACCCCCCACAATAGTTATAGCTGAAGGAAAATATTAAAAATTCAGGAAAAAAAAAAAAGAAAACCAAAACTGTATTCTCTTTCCCAATCCTATTCCTTCTTCCCGTTGGAATTGAGCATGCTAGGTGACAACGTAAAAACAGAGGTTGAGGGAGAATAGGATGGGTATTGATGGATTTACTGCAGATGGAACGCAGGAGTTGGGATTCATAATAGAAGAGGAACCCTAAAGAGGTGAAATGGAGGCTACTTCCATTGGATTCTTTCTGTTGTGAAGGAAGATGTCACCAACAGCGAGTGCGAGAGAGAGACCGAAGCCCAAATGATAAGACTTACCCTTCCCAACATGACAATTACAGTTATATCCCCGAGATGATTCCATCAAAATCCAGATTCCCCACTCATGAAATGATTCCATCAAAATCCCATCTCAAAATTCAAACTTCCGCATTTCCCCTTCAGCCCATCATTGTGAAGCAAGAATTTTTATGAGTCTGCTAATGGGAACCAACCGGCTTAAAGGAAGTAGATTAATTGGGCATGCATATACAACTAAGAAAGATTAACAGCTTAAATCTTCAAATATATTTTAAGTCTGCTGTCGTACCGGCCCAGATTGTAAAACACTTTCTCAATATATTTTACAATAAAGAAAGACAAAATTACAAAGCATAATAAAGACAAGAGAAGGCTGACAATTTTATGCAAGCCAATGCCAGCCATAACAAGAACTTCAAACCCGAAAAGCACTTATTCAGGAAACATTAAATCAG